AAAAAAAAATTGTGTTGGAAGAAGTATAGCCAGAATGCTCCTTAGAAGTGAGCATGGCAAGACTTCTCTCTTGTACTTTGAACATGTTATTAGAAGGGACCAGTTCCTATAGAAGGACATTATACTTGGTAAAATAGAGTGTCAGCAAGCAGAGGAAGATTCTCAGTGAGATGAACTGACACAGTGGCTGCCACAATGAACTTGAACAAAGTAATGGTTGTGAGGATGGTGCAGGACTGGGCAGTGTTCCGTTTTGTTGTACCCAGGACTCCTATCAGTAGGAACCAACTCATAGGCATGTACCAACAACAACTAAAACAAGGTAAGCATAATATTGAATGATACCTAAAATCTCTCACAATCATTATTTTGAGCAAGTTATATGAAAAAAAAAAGAGAGTCCAGCAAACAAATTTAAAAAGCCCAGTTTCATACTTACTCTGGTTGGGTGCTTGGAAAATAGAAATGTCAGGAGAACGTACATTACAAGTCCACCAAAAGACACCAGCTGCTGTTGGCCTAACTTGGCCGTGTCAAAGATCAGCCAGAAAATCACTCCCAGGATCAGTGAACTCCAAAGAACCCTTAGAGAAGGGAAAGGATGTATTGGCATCATTTGTTATACTAACTTGAAGACTGTCATCTAATTTAAACTAATAAACACTGTTAACAATAGTAACACACCCTGGCACCCAGAAGTTGTGCTTCCAGAAATTGCAATAGACCTACTTTTGTTGTGGCTCTCAAGGCAAACAGCCAGAGTTAAGCAATCTGTTCCCCTTATTCCACCATGTGATTTTTCCCTTTTCTCAGAACAAGGAAAAACCTTGTATAGCATGTGGATTGCATCAACTTGTTGCTCTTTGAGTTTGAGTTCAAGAACATTTATCATAAAGTCAAGTAAATTCATATTTTAAATATTTCCACTACAGGTTACTATATAACCAAAACAGAAAAGAAGAGTTTGATAGGCTTAATTACATTAAAAGGAGTCCTGGTAGCATGGTGGATTGTGAGCTGGGTGGCTAAATGAAAGGTCAGTGTTTGGAATCTGCCAGCCACTCTATGGGAGATAGATGAGGTGTTCTGCTTCTGTAAAGATTTACAGTCTCAGAAACCCTATACAGGTCGTTCTGAGTCAGAATTGACTTGATGGCATACATCCATCACCAGTTACATTGAAGATGGTCATGTGCATGTAAAAAGAACTTAAAACAAAACAAAAAATTCTTTATAATATGCAAGTAAGGCGTGAGGTTATTTTTCTTCCCCCTCTCCAGATACCAGGAATGAGAGCTACCCCACTCCATGGGTAGATTTAGAAGCTGATGGCTCCCAGGAAATTGTTCTAGGACACATGAAATTAAGGATATGCAAGGGCTCAGAGAGGAAATAGAGGTGTCTGGAGAGAGAAAAACCAGTTTCTACTGAGTTATTTCTGATGTACGGTGACCCTTCATTTCATAGGGTTTTAAGTGGCTGATTTTACTGCAACTTATGGTTGGAAGCTGAATGTGTTAATTGTACCACACAGGATACAATGTGTGACTAAATTCTAGCACTGTTTTAGTTTCCTAACAACTGCTTCTTGTTACATAGGTACATATTGCTCTTATTGAGTCCAATCCATAGTGACCCTGTATAGGGTTTCCGAGGAGCAGCTGGTGAACTTGAACCACCGATCTTGCCGTTCAAACAACTTTGCAGTCTGGCACATTAACCCACAGCGCCACACCAGGACTCTACATAGGTACATAGCTTTCTCATTAATGGAGTACATCGAAAATTAGTAAATTAATATGTTTGGAACATTTTATCATCTAGTTGGACTTGAAATTAAGGTAGTCTGTAGGGGCAATGGAACACATCTGGAAGGAGTTATTGGTGTCCTTAGGCCTTGATTTCTTGTTTGTACTGTTGTTATGTGTCATCGAGTCGGTTCCGACTCATAGTGACCCTGTGTAGGGTTTCCGAGGAACAACTGGTAGACATAAGAAGGCATTAAAACACATTTTTCCCTAGGCTGTTTCTAACTTCAATACCCGTAGATGGGGAAGCAAGTTGAGAACAAATTTTAGAACAGTGTTGGAAAAGACTATGATATCTTTCTACTAGAATAAGAGAACCAACTGTATTTACCACTTCAGCCAGAACCAATGGCTATTCAGAAGCATTTTCCCAGGAGCCAGGAACTCAACAATTCGATCTTCATATTTGGCCATCAGGCAATCCCAGACAAGGAAGAAGATGATCATCACAGTGATCACAAAAAGAGGAAGGGCTCTGCGAAAGTTCAGCACACAAGCTGCAATCACCATACCCAGGTAGCCTGTTCAGGAAACAAATGCAGATCCAGCATCATCAACACAGCCTGCAACACCACCTGGGTTCAAGCAACTATTGAATGCAGGAGGACTTTTGATAGGGCCCTGATTAGATACACTGAATTGGGGG